CAGTTGTTCACCATATCTTTTACTCATTATCACTCTCTTTTTAAAAACTAATTCTGATCTCAGCTCTGACAAGTTGATGGTCTAACTGTACACAGAGAGCTGACTCAGAGATAATTCCCACATTAATAACAAGTCTTTTCCTTTCTGTTGAAATTTCATCTTTTCTGTTCTTTGTGGAGTCATTTGATATTATGCATATCTAGGGACTATCAATTCTTTTTTTCAAACAAAGTATTCATATTACATAGGTATGACCCTTCTCTGTACTCTACAAGTCTTTCTCATTCTTTTTTTTCCTGAACTATACCATCCCATCTGACCTTTCTATGCCTTTGAACTCACTAAGTATCATAGAGTATATATTGATTAAAAGGTTATATCAAGTTCTTCAAAGAGTTTCTCACTTCCTTTTCATCAATGGATGTTGTTGAACAAGCTGTGGTTCTTTCCACGGTCATCTTTTATTAAATGTCTATCATCAATACTGCAATACATAATGATACACAATATCCCATACAATAGTGTTTCTTGTTGCCTACAAGAATACACCAAAACTCTCTCAGCCAACTCTGTTATATTTTTTTTTTAATTTTTTTTTTCTTTGTTGTATTTCTAAGGAAGACCATTTTGCTATGATTTCATTCTTCTGGTTTAATCTATAACGAGAATGTTTAAACTGACATGATTCAGCTCCTCCAGTGCCATGTATAGTCATTGATTATTGCACAAAGATCTCATGTTTAGAATACCGAAAATCAAATGAAAATTTATTGATGTTCTAAAAACTTTGATTCTCCACCAAGACCTGCTCTGATGCCTCATTACGGCATAGCAATCACCCTGTTTTCTTGAAGGCTTCACTCATGGATTATACACTCTCATGCGTTCTACCATGGAAAGACTTCAAATAGACCTTCAGTAAGAGAAGGACCAACATAGCTAACTAAAGAGAGCACATCACTAGCTACTGAGTTAAGATTCAGCGAGTCTTTGGACTCTAGTGATAAGAGCTGCCAAATTGCATCTTCATCTGCTTCCACTCTGTATTCTTCCCCTGGACGGGCAGCAGCTTTCACATAATCTGAATTTAAATTTACGCTTGGGCGACCAACTCTAGACATTATGCTTCTTCTTTCCGTAGCACTTTTCTCCCCTCTATCAAAAGCCCTTACCACAGGGGGGCCTTCAGCTTTTTTTGCATTGTGGACCGCTTTAGTAGTCTGGTGAAGCCTATTTTAAGAATAATGTTTTTAAATGCACAAAATATATAGGATTGTAAAGGAAACTAATTATTTTGAAACATAGTTATTGAGATATTTGAAAAAAACAGTTCTTGAACCCCCAAACCACTGCTGTAGGATGATTAGCCAGCTCCTACATTATGAATTGGCCAGTTTTACTGTAGTTGTGTTATAGATGGGAAAACTGGCTTTAAACGGTAAATAGCTAGCAGGTAGTCACATTAACTCACCCTGGAAGAGGCTCTCAAGACAATTTCCCCAGAGTCCTACGGCGTGATCAGACGTCTCCTGCCTTGGCTTGGGCCAGAAGATGACTCTTTTCTTATTGGGCTCTGCTTAATAAAGCCAGGGGATTTTTCCTTGTAATGCTGTTGGGAAAGTGATGCTGCTGACACGGCTAAACGTACACTACCATAACCTAGAGTGCAGTGTGTGTAAACCACGACGGCACCAGTTGTGCTGAACGGCTCCTCCCGATGAGAGCAGCAGGAGCTGCCACCACTGGATGAGGCAAACAGCATGAGCCTTTGGGCTGCACATGGCACCTCCTGTACATGCCATGCCATTCCAAGGTAGCCAGGGCATGAAACCTAAACAGTAAATTAAAACAAACCAAATCCCTCTGTTCTCTTTCCTGCTCACTCCTTGCTTCAAAGTTGGCAGCCCCCAAAAGTCTCTCCTGCCCATTTAGCAAGTTACAGGCTCATACATCGGACAGATGGCAGCATCTGTTAGCCAAAAGCAGGCAATTTAGGAAGTTTGTATCTTAACCCAGCTGGCACACAGATAGTCTTCAGCTGTCTGGTGCCCCCCGAGCTATACAGCATTCTCTTTATCTCCTCTACAGCCAAGGATCATGCAGATGTTAGCTCATTATCTCAGCCATTGACTATGCCATTAACAGGAGAACTGGCGTCTCCATATACTCATCAGCCAATCACAATGCAAGGGTTGACTGCCTACTGTGTGCAGAACATCGTATGAAGCACAGTAGGTCCAACATGTTGAGAATCAGAGTCTTCTCCTGTGTGAACCAAAATCTAATGTAACAATGTCTCTGACAGAGAGGGCATTTTGGTTGATGGCTGAGCTTTTTCTAAAATCTTATAAAAGGACAATGGGGTGAATTTCTCTCAGTTGAAGCCATAGTGCTTGTACAGGATGTTTCAGAAGCTATAAGAGTACCTAAAGTTAATGGTTTCTCTTGTGCTAAGAAAAATCGAATTTAATTTCTATCGTGGGAGGTTTTTAGAACATTGTCCTGGACCCAGAAGGGAATTCCTAGATCCTGTTAAGGAGCCAAATGAGGATCATGATGGTTTAAGATGGGTACTTAGGGATCACTTCAGAAACCAAAATTCCTGCATATGCACAGATAATATTTGTAAAGCACTTTGCCAGCTTTAATGTACTATATTATTATTATTAACCTAATAAACAACTCTCAAGAACAACAGCCGCTTAGCATTTAATATTTGACAGAACCAAGAATAATACTCCTCTGTCCTCTCATCCTTATGGCTTATCTTTCTGTTTTTCTTTAGGAAAGAGGAAAGGCAACTGTATAATTGGTATAAACTGACACCCACTTATTATCTGGATCTAATATTTCAAAAGGTCTGCAGTTTCATCAGTGCAGTGATATTGATTACAACCCTACTATGCCTTAGTGGAGGGTCTTTGTGCATATATACATATATGTATTACTGTGACGCCAAATTGTTGTTATCTGGTAGCTAGCCTTCTGGTACTGGCCCTCTCTAAACTTAGCAGGGCTGGGTTTGAGAAAGCAAACATGCAGGTTATCTCTGGGCCTGGACTCAAAGCCTTTTTCTTTTGATTAGACCTGCCTGAGTTTTGGTTCCACTGGCAAAACCAAGGTTATGCCTACTCTAACACAAAGTGGGAGTGTGTGTATTCATTGGGTCCATTCCAAAAAGCTTAACGTTACAAGAGCATCTTTTTTTTTTTTCTTTTTTTGGCCTTTGAGGTCTGTCAATGACAGGAGATGAAAATGTAATTCTTCTGTCCTCATAAGACTCAGTCCTATTAAAGGTTGGGAAGGCCATTAACTAGATCCCAGGGAAACCTGACATAGTAAACAGCAAAAAATTTAGAACAAGACTCTTACTGTAAATCTGAGCCAATTGGATGAATTAGGAATATATATTAACAGTAGAGACAAATAATATTAAGGAGTCAGATAAGTGGCAGAATCCATAAACTAGGCAGAGGACCAGGAACACTGCAAGTGTGTAATGGTTAAAACAAGAAAATCATGGCATATGTTTAATAGGAATGTATATATATAGCCTATATCAGATTGTGTGCCGTTTTGGGAAGGGAGGCGGGGAAGGAGGGGGAGAAAAATTTAAAACTCAAAAGCTTATGGAAGTGATTGTTGATAAAATAAATTAATTTAAAAAATGATGAATATGAAGAAAATCCTGGTGGTAGAGTGGACCAATGGGAGTTGGGGACCCAGACAAAGAGACTGGACAATAAAGAGCACCAGCCCAAAGCACAGCACAGTGGATAAAGTGCTGGGCCTGTAGTCAGGAAGACTCATCTTCCTGAGTTCAAATCTGGCCTCAGACACTTACTAGCTGTGGGACCCTGGGCAAGTCACTTCACCCTGTTTGCCTCAGTTTCCTCATCCACAAAATGAGCTGGAGAAGAAATGTCAAACCACTCCAGTATCTTTGCCAAGAAAACCCCAAATGGGGTCATAGAGAGTCAGAGATGGCTGAAACGACTGAACAACAACAAAAAACCATCCCAAAGAATGAAGCTCGGTATTGAACCAACCCATACCCATGGTATAATAAGAAAGCTTTTATCCGTAGCATATACTAAAGAGTCACATTCGAGGAGGCAAATTAATCTCTCCTAAGTGAGAGTTGATAAAGTTTCTTTTCTGTTGTTCATAGGATCTCTAGTACTCACACAACCGGCTGTAAGCAGCACCTTTTTTTGATCACTTTGCTTTTTGCCTTTATTGGCATGCTTACCAACAACGCTAGAAAGTTGTCAGTTTCGGCCTTACTTATACTATGCAGTGTCCCCATCTAGTGGTAGAAAAGGTAACTTCGGGTTGTTTGTCTGCAGGAGCCTAAATGGCTATGGGGTCACCCACCACCTGAGGGTAGGCAAATGAGCAGTTTCCAGAAAGGCATTGAGGGGAGATGTAGAGTTAGAGCTTCATTAGTGCAGGACACCCACCATCTGTGGGAAATCTTGTTGGCCAAGCTTGCCGATTGGTGCCATCCTGCATACTTTGTTGCTGGAGAGACCTATTAGTGGTTACCCAAAAGGAGGTAAATGTTGCTTAACTCTGTTGCCAGGTGGGAGGTAGCACAAAATGGGATAAAAGGCACACTACCTGGCCTTCTAGTCTAGGGCGTCCCCAGCAGAATAGGCATCAATATAACCTACAATCTCATAAAAGGCAATAAGAAACCAAGGTCCCAGAGGGGTGCGTTTAAATGTGAGTGATCCCAAATTTCTGAGGAGCGTGTGCTTTGCTCAGAACAAGAATGACCTAAGGAAGATACAAACCAATAATGCTCCTCCAGAGGCCACTAAAGCCCTCAGCACCCAGGGTGCCCCAAGCTAAAGTTCTTCATCCTAATATCACCAAACCCATGCGCCCAAACATCACCATCAAACACATCCATTCAACAAACATCTAAGGGTCTACTTTGTACCAGGCACTGTATTAGAGGCTGGAGCTATGGAGACAAATATAAAGCCATTCTTGCCTTTGAGAGGCTTACATTCTATTTGTCATGTACAAATAATGAAATGCAAAATATATGCAAAGTATAAATCCAAAGCCATTGCAGGGAGGATGCTAAAACCTGAGGGGGGGGGCAGGAATTATGGAGGATGTGGCACTTGAATTGAGCCTTTAAAAGACCTAGGTATTCGAATAAATGGAGGTAAGAGAAGAGATTGCACTCGAGGCAGGGGAGACAGCCAATGCCAAAGCTTGGAGTTGGGAGATGGACCATCATGCATGACGAACAGCAAAACCAGTCGAGGTGGAATGTAGAATGCACAAAGTAGGCTGGATCCTGGTCATGTAGGGCTTTAAATGACAAAGGAGCTTGCATCCTTGATCCTTAAGGTGATAGCGTGACACTAAGATTTCTTCAGTAGGATAGAGGTGTAGGCAAACCTTTGCTTCAGGAATATCAGTTTGGAAGCTGTGGGGAAGAGTGCAATAGAGAGTGCCTTAAGAAAGTGAGACTAATAAAAGAGCTATTGCAATAGTATAGGTTGGTGACTGTATCGTGGAGAAGATGGGGAAAATGTCGTGGTAGAAATGATAGGACTTGGCAAATGGTTACATATGGGTGATGAGAAAAAGTGGATGGATAGAGAAAAGATGAATCGCAGGTCAGGAATGATGGTAGTGCCTTTAACAGAAATAGGCAAGTTTGGAAAAGGAGTGGTTTTTGGACATGTCGAGTTATAGGTGCCTACAGGCATTCAATTAGAAATTTGTGATAGGCAATTTGTGACATGGGATCGGAGCCTCAGACAAGAAAGCTGGGAGTTATCTGACTAGAGATGGAGGTTGATGATGTTGCCAAGCGACAATGCATGGAGAGAGAAGAGGACAGAGCCTTGCCTGAGTACACACACAGCTAGGGGCTGGATATGGATGAGGATCCAATGAAGGTGTAAGGGAAACCAAAAGAGAAGAGTATCCAGAGAAGGCTGTCGATCATCTCTTAGGAATAACCATACACAGCCAAGCTCACAAACTGCCCTTTGCTCACATATATAGCGTTCTTGATCAACAAGCATGTTGATGCTTAGGTGACCTCTGCAGATGTAGTCTCTGGGTCAGTCTTCTGTTCTATGCTGTCCACTAAACCAGGTCATCATGGGTAGTCTGACCAGCACAAAGTCCTGGGGCCCTGCTTGTTTTCTTTTCTCCTCCATTATGACAGCAAAGCTAATGGAGAAGATGACTTATGAGCAACTGGGAACATAAAATTAATGTTTTGGGGCTGTTTGGCCTTTTTTTTTTTTTTTTGCTGGAATGGAATGATCACACTCTCAACTCCTCCCCCATGACAGCAGGAAAAAGTGAAAATTCAATTAAGATGCAAAGAGTACCCTGATCTCTGACAAAGTGTGCTAGAAAATCTTACCATCACATTGCTCATTCATACACATTTTGATGTGCTGTAGATCAAAGAACATTTCTTTTACATGTGTTTATATATATTTTCATGTGTATATCTAATTTCCCCAACAAAAAGTAAGCTCCTTGAGGACAGGAACCAACTATGGTGATTTTTTTTTTTTCCCTATGTAGCCTTAGGATCTGGCACAGTACCCGCCACACAGGAGGCACTCAATAAATATTTGTTAATTGATTGATAGACAAATAGATGTATCAAGAGGAAAGCAGCCAGGAACATGAGGGGTCTGAAAACCATGTGATGATAAGCAGATAGAGGAACTAAGGATGCTTATTTTGAAGAATAGAAGACTATGGGTAGAGAGTACATTCAGGTATTCGAAGGGATTTTGTGGAAGAGAAAGTGGACGTTCTTATACAACCAAAGGGCTTAAGTTACAAAAAGTCAATATAAAGAATTTTCTAACAGTCCAACAGTAAAATAAGCATCTTGCCACTGGAAGAATTAAAAGCCCAGAGATGTCAAACTCACACATACAGCTCACAAAACTCCCAAATCTGGCCAAACCAGATAAAATATAATTGAAAAATGGTTTAAAAAAAATAAATGAAAATACAATAAAACATAGGTGATGTTAATTTGTGATTTTCTAAGTTAATAAGCAGCCCAGGGATCTGTCTGTATTTGAGCTTGACATCTCTGGTACAGAGATGACCTATCAGGGATAGAGAGGATTCTCACCTGGGTTCAGTAGTTAGGTTAAGTGACCTCTAAAGTCCTTTCCAACTTGATAAAATTCTGTGATTTTTCTGAGTCATCCATAAGAATGAGATTTGAAAGTCTCTGGACTAATGAACTTTGGTTTAGTCTGGGAAGGGCACATTCTGAAAGGATGTACAGAGACAACTCCAAACTTTTATCACCAAGAAATAGGCTTCCTGCTAATAAGATGGGATAGAATTTGAAAGGGAAAAGACAATAATGTGGTCAGCACCTGCTAAACAACCCAGCAATGCAAAGCGTAATGCTGCTTGCTCTCTGTGTCTCTTCTCCTCTTCCCTGCCCCCAAATATTCTCCTTAGGCATGTGCCTGGCTCCCCATCAGCACAAACACATGCCTTCTCTTAAGGCATGGGTTCAGCTCAATGGTAAATAATACTCCATTATCTCAAAGCCGTGATGGATTCAAAACAGCTCCAGCTGCTGAATGATGAGTGTCTTGTTTAGCCAAGTGAAATGACTCAGAACAAAGGGAGGGCTGGGCCAGCTTGCACAATCTAAGTGAAGAGAATGCTTGAGTCATTTTGGTTAAAGTAGGGGTTTCAGACTGAGCTCTGATGGCTTGTTTATGCTGCCTGGACTGAGCACATACATTTTCAAGGATTTTTCTTTGGCTGTAGGAAACTTTTCCAAGGAAGCAAAATAAGGCCTTTGACTTGCATGCATTTCCAACTATCACCTTCTACCACCGTCACCCAACCCTCCCCTTCTAATATACATTGACACTCCTCTTCAAAGCATGTTGGCAAAGGTCACAATTAGTAAATAAGAGCCTCACTGCACAGTCCAAAGAAGCTGGTGTAGCCCAAAAGCAATCAGTAAGTCCTTTTAATGTTTTAATAAATTTATTATTTTTGAGTAGTCATTTCTAGTATAACTCTACTCCATCTTGAACTCTTCTTTGTCATAAATGAAGTTAATCAAACTGTCATTCATCAGAGACCATATTCTGCACCCGTAGTCTCCCACGCCTCTACAGCAAGCAGGGAAGTGCATTCCTTCATTTGTATTCTGAGATGAGCACTGCATCAATTCATGGAAGCTCTTCCATGTTTCTCTCAATCCCTCCTACTGAAGTATTTCTTACAGAAAAACAGTATTCCATTACATTCCCATGCTACAATTTGCTCAGTCATTGCCTAGTCAATAGCTGCCTATTTGTTTCTGGCTTTTTGCTACCATAAGACGGGCTGCTATGAATATATTGGCATAAATGGTGCCTTTCTTTCTGTCTTTGACTTCCTTAGGGTAAATGCCCAGAAGGAGGAACTTTAGGTGAGGGATGTGAGCAGTTGAGGGACTTACCTCACATAATTTCACACTGTTTTGTAGATAGGTGGGAAGAATTCACAGTTTTAACTAGCCAATCTTATACAAATGAGAAATACTGGTAGCTTTGTCAGTGATATTGTAGTTAAAGCCTTCGTTCACATACCTGATCAATCTTTCAACCAGTGGTTGTGGCAAACATTTTAGGGACAGAGAAGCAGGATAAGATGGTCTTTGTTCTTACAGGCCTTACAATCCACTTGGGGAGACAAGGTGAATTTTTTACACACGCACGCACACCTGTGTGATTCCCCCACCCCAATGTGGAATTGTTCTAAGAACCACAACACACATGCATGCATGCATACACACACACACATACACTCAGACATATGTGATTTCCCTCAGCCCAATGTGGAATTATTTTAAGAATTGTCACATGCGAGAACATGCATGTACACACACACACTCACACATGTGATTCCCCCACCTCATGATGCACACACATGCACATGCACACATTCACACAGGTGTGATTCCCATACCCCAATGTGAAATTATTCTAAGAATTTGAGGCATTCTTGTAAATATCCTCAGTGATGGTACATTTGAGAGAAAAAATAAGTCATTCAGGAACAAGTCAGATGAATAAAATGAGTGATTAAAATTAGTAATATCATTTTGGGTCCAAGGTGAAGCATGACTACCAGAATAAGGAAACTGACTTTTTTCTGGGCTTCATAATATGGCTGACCCTGAAGGCCATCCTACAACAGGAGTGAGGCATGGTTTGGAGCATAGCCCTGTCATTTTTCCAGGGGAACTATTTTGAAAGGAACAAACACCGTCACATTATTTTATGATTGTCACATCTTGCACATGTGCCCTTTTTAGCATGGGGTGGCTCACCTCTTTCCTTTCTTCTCTTTATACATGCTGCCACTGATTCACTACATAAATGAAACCCTCCTGTGACCCCAGCCAACCAGCAGCATTGGGTCTTCCTACCCCCACCTCCAAGCACAGATTTGTCCCAACTTACCACAAGCTAATAACAGCTTGGCTTCCTATTAGAATAGGTTTCCACTTTTGTGTCTGATTCCACCAGCTCCTGCCTGTCTCCTCTTCAACCTGATGACCTAGTACTGCCCTGGTTTAGGTCCTCATCTCCTCTCAGCTGGATTACTGTAATAGTCTCCTAACTGGTTTCCCTGGTTTTAGTCTGTTCCTCCTACCGTCTTCCACATAGCTGCCAAATTAGTATTCCTAAAACACAATTGACTATTTCACTTCCCGGCTCAAGAATCTTCAGTGGCTCCCTATTGTCTCTGAGATAAAATAAAAACTACATGCTGGCAGTTAAAGGTCTTCACAGTCTGACCTCCAGCCTACCTTTCCAGACTTCAGATTTTTCTCCTTCCAACACAATGGTTCAGGTACATTAATCTACTCTTCCTCAGTCTCATGTGACCAAATCTTTGCAAAGCCTTGCTTGAAATGTACTTCCTCCTCTTACCTCTGCCTCTTAAGAGTCCTTGATTTCTTTCAAGAGCCGGTTCAGATGAAACCTCTCCTGCTCCTCCTACATCTTAGTCTTTTCCCTTTTAAAATTCTGTATTTACTTAAGATCACAGACTAAAAACTGAAAAGAAACTTGGACCTTCTCATTTTATAGATGAGATAAATGAACCCCAGGGAAGTTGAATAAATTGTACAAGGTCACACAGATAGTAAGCATCAGAGGCAGGATCTGACTCCAGAGCCACACTTCTTCCTCAGCAGAATGTAACCTTGGCGATCCTGTTGGTGTCTTTTTGTATCTCAAGCACCTGATACAGTGCTTTGCACATAGTAGGTTCCTAGCAGTTTTTATAGAACTCAGTTTCTTCCAGTTCTTCTAGCTACTAAAAGCAGCACCAATCAGGGGCCACTCTGACTTGTGTTAATGGTGCATTTTTCCTGGCACACAAAACAAATCAAATATTCTCTCTTCCCCACAC